AAACTTTTGTAGTGATAATCAGGATGGCCCATTTCAAACAGCTGACATGAAGGTGTGAGTAACAGTAGGGGGAAAACTAGCATGGGGAAATAGTTTTTACTGTTAATAGCCCACCTTAATTGATTAGTCACGTTAGAGTTGGTATGGCAACACCCATTTTTTCATGTTCTCTGTGTATATACATTTTCCTACTGTATTTTCCACTGCATGGATCCAATGAAGTGGGTTTTAGCCCACGAAAGCTTATGCCCAAATAAATTTGTTAGTCTCTAAGGTGCCACAAATACTCCTCGTTCTTTTTGCTGTTACAGATTAACACGGATACCACTCTGAAACCTATATCTTGAGATAAACTGCATTCTAATTCTTTTTAAGAAAACAATTGCTTGTCCAAAAGAAAGGTTAGTGGCTGTTAATTCGGTATGCACTCTCTGGCTAATAAACATGTTTTTGTTCATGTTTTGTATATGCACACACATATATACAGGTGGGAGACATTGTCATAGAGGCAGAAGAGGATGGTGATATTAGCAACATATTTTTGAAAGGGTCTAGTGGGGAGAGAAATGAGAGTCTAGGAGACCATGAGAAAAACACTTTAATAGTCCAAGTGGAGAAGACTCATGTTTGGTTCAGAGTTTCAGAAGTAGGGATAGAGAGGAGAAAGATAGATAATAGAGATGTCACATAGGACTAGGGTAATTTTAACTCAGGCATTTAACATACTATAGGTAAGAATGAAGTAAAGTTAGAACACAGGAAGCAGTAATATGTGAATATTTAAAATAATTAGAATAAGATTACAAAATTGTTTCCTTTACAAAACTCATTTTTTGGACTCAGATTTTCCTGGGGTAGTTTCCTCCTGATGACTAATTCTTTTAATAAAGTTTGAATACAATATGTCAACCATTTTTTTCACTGTGATGAAGATTTAGAAAGATAACACAATACTTCCTTTTTTTTTTAAACCCAAACACCCTTAAAGCACAGCTGCAAGAAAACAACAAAAATGGTTGAGATTTGAAACTTGACACGGAGACCTATTACTTTTGTAAACAGAAAATTTTAATTTAGTAAAATAAAAGAAAGTTATTGAAAGTTTTCCACCCAAACTCTTTTTTTTTAAATGGAAAATTGTTGTTGTTTTTTTAAATGTGAAAAGTCACAATTTTCTGTAACAAAAATTCCTTATTTTCCAACAGCTGTCATAATGAACATTTGAAAATTATGAAGTGAAGAGGTGCAGTAGTTTTTCATTAAATCGGTAGACATGCATTTTCAGAGAGAATCAGTATGCATCTGTACACAGCTAGGTAAGTGCACACTTTTTCCAAACTGGTTTACTGACATTAAATGCTCCTAATTTTAACGCTACTTTAAGATTTTCTTCAAACATCTCTTGTTTTAGAAGTCTCTTTCAATCTTAAAACTGAAGCCATGTTTGAAGAAGAGTCAGTAGTTTTAAAGTTATGAGCAATTATTTGGCAGATCCTGGGAACACTAACTCACATACCCAAATAACGGTATATACATGCACAGGAAATGCATACTTAGTCTGTATTGCTAATAGACACTAGTCAACTCTTCCTGGTGCCTTTTAGTCTACAAGTGCACAGTTTACTACTAAAAGTAAACTGTGCACTTGTAGACTAAAAGGCACCAGCAAAGGACATCAATTTTCCTATATTACTCAATTGCCTGTTAATAGAAATGGGTGTCAGCATGAAGAATATAAGCAATTAATGTATAAGGTTAGTATATAGCTATCCTAATTATATGTGGGCACCCAAATGAAGAGGTACAGGTGCAGTTCAGGTCAGTGATCTCTTGATTAATACATATAATTATTTAATTTGCTAACAGATTCACATGATTATTTCCTTCTTGTAGTTTTCAACTGATCGGAGTTTTGGAAGGGAGTACAAAATTGTGCATTAAGGAAAAGTCAATAAGGCACAGCAGTTAATGTCCTAATAAAACATGCCGTGCATCTTACATTAAAAGCCTCTTTTGGGTAATCAAGCCATGTTTACTGTAATTAAAGAATACCTTTCCATGCTTTATTTATAATGAGTCAATAAAGTGGATGTTTGCATGGAGAACACTTGGAAATGTTTCCACTAAGCTGATATGACAAAACAACAATATCACCCCATGAATGAAGTGCTCACTTTAGAACTCACATGCATCACTGAGTACAGACTGCAGCAAGTCTTTTAATGGAGCCAATGACATGACTCAACTCATTAAGTAACTTTGTACTATTTTAGTAACCCTTATAAGTCACTGGAGAACACACATACATACACATGAACACATTCTCTCTATACCAGTTACAAATGAAATATTGATAATATTCAAATCAACTGGGAAGAGAAAACCTGAAGATTACACGTGAAGTAATTTTTAGTGAATTCTGGTGGATTGAGAGGAAACTCAAGATTAACAAAAATAAATAAACCAAAATTGCAAGTCAGTATTTTGAACTGAAAAATGCCCCTAATATCACTACTAATATTAATTTCCAATTAGTATTCAAAATAAACGATCTTTTCCCCACTGATTTTTCCCCTTTTGTATTTCTTGCATTTGCTGGAGTGAGCAAACTGTCTACATGAAGAACTGATGTCTATGGAACACTATGGCAGGGCATTATTAAGCAGCATCCTAGTATCCCAACACAATATAATGGTCTACTTTTGTTTAACTCACCTTATTATAGATAAAACCAATAAGAAATGGTTATACAGGCAGGTTAAGATGCAGTGGGCAAAATACTGGCATCCTTATTTAGTCCTCCGTACTTGAGCAAAACTTCTATTGATTTCACTGAGAGTTTCCTGATTAAAGACTAAGTAAAACCTGCCAAGGACCTCAGGAATCGGTCCATGATCATGAAGAGCTACATTAACTACAGCAACGCGCTACAGTTTTTCCTTAATATCACTTTATACCCCACGGCCTGCCAACTTTCTCTGAAAACAAGCTTTTCAATAGGTCTCAAGAGACCTAAATTCTATTCCCAGCTCTGCCACAGATTTGCTGTATTATCTTCAGCAAATCATTTAATCTCTCTTTTCCCTCACACCCTTTGTCTGGTCTATTTAGTCTGTAAACTCTTCTAGGAAGGGATTGTCTCTCACTATGTGTTTGCACAGTGTCTAGTACAATGGGGCCCCAATTTCAGCTGGGGGCGGTAGGTGTTACAATAATACAAATAAATAATAATTTTGGCCTCTTCACTCTATTCCTCTCTGAAACTCCTCTTCCCCATACCCTTTTTTTCCTATCCCCCAACATACACATACTCCAGTTCCTTGCTTTTTAAGCTTATTCCTTTATCCCTTTGCTTCTCTAACTCGTTATTACCTCCTCCAGTCAAATTTCCCAGCTTCTTTAATATAATGCAGCCAACAGTCCCCTTTGCAGTACGGTTGACCTAGTTGGGAAACTATGTATTCCAGAGGTGACACTTCAAACAGGAAAAAGTTCTAGGCTTACAATGGAATACTCTGAAAATTGCCTCAGTTCAAATAAGTGGTTGAGTGTGCATCCCACTGTTCCTCCCAGTACTGGGTGTCACGTAAGTAATGGTGGGAGAGGGAACAGTGAAGAAGCTGGGCAGCCTGAATGGAGGGACAGGATGGGGCAAAGGGGTTACCAAGAAGGTTTAAAAAGTGAGGAAAAGGGAGAAAGTGGAAGGGACATTGTACAGAGGAGAAAAATTGAGGCAGAGAGAAGTGCATGTGAAGGAGACAATTAAGTGCGCAGAATCAGGCAATTCTAATCTTCCAGAGAAACATTGGGTGGGTAAGAGGAATCTATTGGTTACTCAGAGTTAGTAAGGAAAAATATATTTTTCTTTTAATTTAAATTTGTTTTAATGAAGGTTTTGGCATAACAAGGACTTTAAAGACAATTATATTTTTTTAATCTTTCTCCTAATATTATTGCTATAGGGTTGCTTTCTAATCATATTGAGACACGTCACGGTGTGTGTCACATTCAAATATTGCTGCCTCTTAGTAGGTTGTGGCACTCCGTTTTCAGCCTTGTGCTTTTCATTGCACCTGTGATATTGCAAAAAGCCTGGAATGACACCCATGCTGTCTTTACAGATTTGTTGTCAGTTAATTTGTTTTCCTTATCATCCTAAGACTGACAGGATGCTCTTCAGAAAATGCAAAAACACTTCATATCCTTCAGGGACTGATCAAAAGTCTTTTGAAATCAATGGGATTCCTTCCATTGCTTCAGTGGGCCTTGGATTGGACACTAAGTACCTGAGATGATGGAATACAGCACTTTCCCATTGCTCCTCTGAGTCAGCAATGATAAATAGACAGTGCTAAAAACGAGGTTTAAAATCCTGATACCTGATTTAATTGTAGCTACCTGAGAGCATCCTGATTTAAATCCTGATTTAATTGTAGCTACCTGAGAGCACAAAGTTCCTTCTTACCTGTGTGGTAAAACTTTCCTGAAAATCCAAGGTTGAAGGTAAAATTTGCAACCTGAGTGCGCAGTAAATTTTGAGTCTCTAGTAATGCCTGAAATAAATAAGAAATTAACATGCATTTAGAAAAATGAATATAAAATTTAGGAATGCCTCATATTCAAATTTGTGTCCACTGACGAGACATAAAATTAAGGTCTTCTTTAAATATATTCTGTGGTTTGTCGTTGGGGTCATTCTTTTTTTCTTAAGTCTATTAGTGAATACATTTGGGAATTTAATAAGGTGAGGGCCCAACATCATTGGCAAGAGTACCTAGCTGTGTAATTTAGAGTAACAGAAACAGGGCAAGATCGTACATCGACTTGTACATGTTTTGATGTTTGGCAATATTTGAACTCAGGTCTCTAGATGTAACAATATACTAATCAACTGAACCACCATAAACACGGTGTTTATATGTAAAATGTGAATAATGAAATTTACTAACTCAAAATACAATAAAGGTATTGCTTGCCAGCCTGGGCATTAAAGGCTTTTGGTTTCACTTACCTGTAAAAACTTTAAAATTGTAGCTTGTAGATCAAATTCAGCCATGGTATAAATGGATAACTCCCTATTGACTTCACTGGGAGTTGTGTCCATTTACCTCATGGCTATGTTTTTATGTTGTTTATTTTTTCTAATAAAATTTTATGCTCCAAAAAAGTGCAAGTCTGATTGCACTGAAGACAGAATAGCTTCTGCCCTCTACCCCTACTGCCTCATCAGTGTGTCTCAGATCAATTTTGTGTACAACATCTGTAGAGATAAAAGACAGAAGTCTCTGCGCACTTTCAGTCTTTGACCTCACTGATGAGACTGCCAAGCAGTGATGCTTCCAAATGGTAGTTTTTACTACATGAATGTCTCTCCACTGGGGACTGGTCTGAGAACAACAAACATTTTACATCGGTCATGCTATAGATACCAGCTGGATAATGCTTTCATGTCTATATTGGGCTGGCCAGTTTTGAATTGGTGAAGAGCTTTAATTATCAGCAATCTTTTGAGCGCCTATCATGTTGCTCTTAAGAAATAATCAAAAGATATATTAACAAAGTTCATAGTAGAGTAGTCAGATATTTATATTCTTCCACTGTTCAAAGAAAGAGGCAGGCAGTGGCCTACAGGTATTTAAACTCCAATAATACCTCCTTTCATGGCATGGACATCTGGTCACTAATCATTAAATTTGTCAGTTACAGGAAAATGCTTAGCCCAGTTGTCTCAATGTTTGAAAGCTAAAAGGCATTTCTGACCACCAACTAACTATGAAACATATCTGAAATTAACATGCATCTTAGCAGCTGAAGTCTGTGTTTATGATAACAGACAACTAACTAAATATGTTTGTCATTTGGGACATACACTGGGCTTCCACACAACCTAAGAGACAGTCAGCAAGTTTTTATTTTCCTTTATTTTTAAACTTAACTATATAGAGAGTTTTAAGGTAGAGGTAACAAGAAGTTTAAGAACCATTATCCAAGGAAATAAATTAGCAAGGGACAACAACAAGTGAAATCTAACTGCAGTAAACTGTGTGCCTTAGCACTGAATATTAAGAGATTAGTATTGTCTCCAGCTTATCTGGTTATACATTTATTAATTAGATGATTTTCCTTTTGTGACCCCCACCATACATTAGTACATCAGTGCTTGATCCACCCATTGTAATATTACACATTATGTTTTATGAGACCAAATACAAAGGGAACTGGTAGACAAATGTAACAATTATGTTCCAGTATACTACAATTATAAAATGAAGATGGTCAGCACCAGAAATACTCACTGGGTCAGAGCTTCAGTGGTTGAAAATTGTCTTAGCTCCATTTAAGTCAAAAGAGCTATGCAGAATGCCACCAGTTTAGAATCTGGGCCATTATTTTTAGAAACATAGTTTTCCAATATATGCAGTGCTTCTTGCATTTCAGACTGGTATGCTGAGCAAAATCAATGTGGTTTGTCTTTGTGGATGAAAGACCCTGAAATATTATCAATTAAAACATGGTATACCAAGGTATATGAAATAAACTTCTTGTTTTATCATCTCATTTTTTCCTTTCCAAATCCCCTTGAAATGTTATTTCGTAAGATCACAAAAAGGGGAAGGGGGAAAAAAGCGAGAGAAGAAACATTCCATCCAGGTAAGGTCTCATTAGAAGAGTAGAACAAGGATTAAGTTGTAAATTGTATAAACTATGGTTATATGATTTTTTCAGTCTAAAGGGTAAATGTGTCACTCAGCATTTATTGCGAGCACCAAAGACCTTTTTTTTTGTCATTTCAGTATAACACGTCACATATATTCATTTATATTGTCTCATTGTATGTTAACGTTAAAGAGACACTATCGGATAGGTGAGTCCTAACATTTGACTAAATGTTATATTGTTTGTAAGTGTGGGGAATGTCTTACACAGATCTCAGTATCTATCTAGAAAATAAACACAAAAAGATCAATCCTGCCTTGAGAATAATTGAACACTTTCTCTATTTTTAATAATTACTTATTCAATCAAGATTCTCATTGACTCCAGCTGGCTTCAGCAATAATTTTGCTAGATGAAGAATACACTCTGTTGTGCTCTGTAGGCACAGTCCATAATAATAGGGAATACAGATCTGCACCACACCAGGAGAGCAGCAGGTGGCATTCAGAATGCCTCCTGGGTGCACACAGACTGCCGCATGCCTGCTCTTTTAAGGAATTAAACTTTTTACCACCTGCATTGGTGGCCAGCTCTGATGCCTGCATACGATTGCCAACTTTCTAATTGCACAAAACCGAACACCCTTGCCCCTTCTCCAAGGCCCTGCCCCTTCTTCGAGGCCTTATCCCCCCTCCCTCTGTCGCTGGTTTAGCCATAGATCTGTGGTGGTATCTTTGGCCAGAGTATTTATGGGCCTCTTCATTTTTGCTTATTGTGTCATCATTCAAAAAAAAAAAACAATGTTAGTTCTTCTGAGTAAGGATTGCTGAATAGGGCAATTAGCATAGAATAACTATTTAGATATGGTGACCCACATAAAAAAACTGCAGATTCTATGGTAGATTCTAAGCCAGTAATTAAACTAATGTCATTTTATTCTGAATAAGTAAATTAAGTAAATCTAATAAAATAATCATTTTACAAGGAAAGAACCACAAAGCATATCTAAGTTTGGTGAAACATGCATGACCTCATGCCGGGCTAAGCACATTTTTTTAAAAAGTAATCAAAGTGTTTCTTTCAACTAGGGCACTTAAATTAGGTGGAATATTTTTAGAATTTTGTGTTTCAGTTTATTAATTTATTCTTCACTTTGTCAGTAAGTCTACCTCTCTCTAGGACATCCATAAGATAAAGCTTTTTTTCTTTATATTGCATTTACACTCAACAGTATTTTACATTAATCCATGTAATTACCTTTTGTATGTTTGAGTTGCTTTGTCTTTATTCTTCATAATTGGTGCATCTATTAAGCAAGAATGATATTTTCCCATAGTGTCCTTGTTAATTACAACTGTATCCTTCATTTGCATAATAAACTTTTTGGGGAAATTTGTGCAGTAACATTTCATGGCTAATAGGAAGCAATTTGCTTTCCTTTATTAAGTACATTAAAACTTCATGCCCTAGACATCATTGACTGTAAACATTTGATACTGCTCAAATTTAATGCACCAAGGCATTTTGCTCTGCCATATTAGGTTTTATTTATGTGCTATGTTCTGGATTGTTAGCCACTAATGAGACTTCAGCGCTTTTTGTTCTAAGGCCTGAACACTAACCTCATTTTAATGAGTTCATTATTTGCTGTCTTCTGAATGGAAGGCAACAAATTTTCCTTTTAATTAAAGGTCAAAACACCTCTGGCTAAGGAAAGTGAAGAGGTTATCAAGCCCTTAGAGAAACTGAAGGAATGGCTTTTTCTGATATCTACTCCAAGCAGAGGCAGACCAGATTGGGGTGGGAGGTGTTTCTCTGGAGACCAAAGTTCTAAATTTAAGCTAAGTGATAACAACACTAAAACACAGTTGCTAGAGTTCCCTAATCATTGTAAAAAAACAACAACAATAACCCCCCCAAAAAAACAAAAACAAACTCCCAAAAGTCAGCCAAAGTAATTCAAGATGCTTTACTCCTAACCCAGAGGTCTGCATGGATCAATACCACTGCTAAAGCATGATCTGTTGTTTGAATGAGTAATGATTTACACATTGCTGAGGACAGGTGACAGATTAATTGAGCTGCAAAAACCAGTCTAATATTTCTTCTCAGTGAAAGTGAGTTTCCATCAATATTTTTGGTGCTGCTTCTAGTGAGAGAGAGAACTGTATGATGTGGTTAGTGTGAACATTTCCTTTTTATGAACATTCTATGCATATTCATGTGAAATTACAGTGGCAACTTTAGGCAGATTAAGTAATAATACAGGTATTCATTTGTATAGCACTTTGTCTTTAAAATGGTGTACAATGATTAGCTATTTAGGGCAAGATTTGCTACCCTAACTCATATTGAGTAGTATCTTACTTCACAAGACATTTCACTGGAAACATAAGACTACTTATGAGTAAGGTACTCCTCCTAAGTAAGGGGATCACAATCAGGTCCTTAATTGGTTAATGGAGAACGAGAGGTAATAGAGGACTGGCTGAGGAAAGTATGGCCTTCTTAACACATTTGTAAAAGGATCACTCTTTGGTGACAGGATCACAGAAAACCACTAATGGGTCCATAGTCTGGGGAACAAGACAAAGGTTTTTCTTAAGCTGAAACTTCCTTCATGTGAGGCAGCACCTGCAGCAGGCTAACCCTGCAACTAGAAAGTCACTGGCAACAAATCAAAATAATAGCTCAGCATCAGGCCTACCTTCCCTCAGGGAGGCTCTGGCTGGTAGTAGTCTCTCAAGAGTTCCTAAGCCTAGCCAGGCTTTTCTCCTGGAGTGAGAGCTGGAGGTCTGCTTTCCCTCCCAGCAAACCCCCCATTGAGCTGGGATGTTCCCTTTTAACTTCTCCCTCCACACCTGACACCTGTTGAGTTTGGGGGGTAGGAGGGAGA